CTCTGAAATGGTTCTTAGCTTGATCACTCAGAAATTCTTGAAGATGACCCTCATTGAACAATCGAGCTACCTCCTCCCTCAGCTGCCTGCAGTCTTCGGTCCTATGGCCATGTGTGCCATGATATTTACACATCAAGTTTGGATTTCTTTGAGAAGGATCGGTTTGTATAGTCCTGGGCCACCTAGTGTCTTTGATCCTTCTAATAGCTGATGCGATCCCCGATGCATCAACAGTGAAATTATACTCTGATAACCGAGGTGCTTCTGCAGGATCGGTATGTTTATCAAAACCATTCTTACTCATAAGTCCCTAAGAATTTTGTCCTCGATCGTTTCTTCGATCATTCCGAGGAAGGTTGCGCCCCGAATCGTTGTTTCTTCGATCTGCGACGTATGGCTGATACCGTTCCCTATTTGATCTCGGTTCCCTATCTGTATTCCTCGGGGCCTTAACTGCCAATCTATTAGGATGAACTGAACCCGAGGGGGTCCCAGCTGGTCATCCTCGACCTTGATCTTTGATTGGTAACGATTATGTACATCTGACCAAGTCACAGCTGGATACTCGATCAGATTTTATTTGAACTGTCGTGACGCGATCGAACTCCGCTCGTTCAACCCCTGTGTAAAATCTTGCACGGCCCAATCTTCCGAGACCGGTGGTAATTCCATTCGCTCCATTTGAAATCGGGATACGAACTCCCTTATCATCTCATCATTCCTCTGTCTTATCTTAAAAATGTCCGATTTCCTTGTCGTAACCTTTATGTCCCCGGCGTGTACCTTTACAAAGGTGTATGCTTACATAGCAAACGAATCGATAGAATTCGGTGGCAAGTTGTGATACCAAATCATTGCTTCTTTTTACAAAGTTTCCCCACATATTTTCAACAAAACCGACTCGATCTCATCATCATTTAAGTCGTTTCCTTTAATCCAGCAAGTGTACGAGGTAATGTGTTCATTAAGATCGCTTGTCCCGTTGTACTTAGGTATATCGGGCATACGGAACGTTTTAGGAATAGGCTTCGGAGCCGCACTCGGAGGAAATGGCTTTTGTATGAATTTCTTGGCATCCAAGCCTTTCAAGACCGGGGGTGCTCCCGGTATTTGATCGACATGGGAGTTATACGTCTTCACCTTTTTGTCATTATCCTCAATCATTTTCTTCCCCAACTCGCTTCTTTTGGTGAGTTCTTCGAGCATCCTCATAATCGTGGGGTCACTCCCCCACCCATTACCGTTTGATCTTTCAGGCACCGGCTCAGTGCGGCGAATGATTTCTGGCTCGACCACACTTGGAATTTTGTGCTGACTTTGAAGCTGAGTGATAGCAACCTATTGAGCTTGTAGCATCTCGAATATTACTTGAAGGCTAACTCCCCCATCTCCTACACCTTGTGTTCCTTGGCCACTAGATCAGACTTCCCTGCGTACACTTCCTCCGAGGTTTGCGCCTAAATTCGCGTTCAAAGCAATGTGTGAACTAACATCGACTGGCTCCACATTCGGCACTTCTCCAGGGTTAATCACGGGTACACCGGCTCCCGGAGCAATCATATTGTTGTTTTCCCCGTGAAATCCAAGGCCATCATCGCCATGTACGGGTGCGCTTTGTGAGTTTGACATATTTTAACCTGAGAACAAAAATTCTTGACAAGAACAAGTGTGAAAATAACGTGTGTTATCAGAATCAGTATTGAAATAATCACTGTTATCTTCAGCCCCACGGTGGGCGCAACTGTTTACCTTGAAAATACGAGTAATAATTAAACTTGTTTGTAGTTTTAAAGATAACTGATTTAGTTCAATACTAATTGATAACCAAGAAATGAGACGTATAAATTAAAGAAGAAAGTTGAATCAAACCATTGTTCAAGCCAATCTTGACCTCGAGCTGTAATGGCCTCGAGGTTGGTCAACAAAAACAGTAAAGTAAAGACAATAAGTTTAAGAGACAATTCTGATGAGTAATGACCAAGAAAGTAAGAGAGTATATTCTTTTGCCAATGATAGATGATGGTTACAAATGATTGGGGTCCCCTTTATATAGTAAGGAAACCCTAAATAAGGTACATTTCTATTTACAGTAAAGAATCTTATTGGGACAGCTGTCTTACCGCCTAGTACGGATTCGTACTAACTCGTACAAATCTATTTCGGAATTTACGCCATGATCTTGGGGACGTGGCGGAAATCTTGCTCTTTCTGTTACAAACCCATAACGATATCATTTCGGGGTTGGTCGTACTCAGCTTCAGTGCTCATTGCGTACTTTGATCTTCGAGCCTTATATTCTGTCGTCGGTCTCGAGATTGGTCCATTGGGCTTGAACTCGATCCATCCTGAACTCGGGCTTGAGGCGACTCTTCGAGCCCATGAAATTGGGCATACTTGATTTCGACCGTATACACACGACACCGCTTCGTCGAAATTTTGTACTAAATATATGTATTAATACTGTGAAGGAAGGGATAACAAAAAAAACAATGACAATTATTGGCATAAATTGTCTCTTGGTGCAATGGCTTTGTGCTAGATTTGCTCCAAGAGGTCAAAGGTTCTTCAATAAATTCTGACACCACTTACAAAAATTCCCGTGTACGCCCCTGATGCTTATTAGCCCCAATTTTACCTGTATGCAAATGCAAAGACAAAATTTAGGATTTTAAGTAGGTAGAGAATACCGCTGCCTAAACTAATTCTTGAAGCAGTAGTGTGAATTTTGTTTGTGTGTGTATATCTCGAGTTGATGTCATTAATTAATATGTTAGCATGTAACCGATATTAGCAAAACGTTAGCTCGTATCTACTTGCTAGCTATTTTTTTGTTTTGTTTTTTAGATTGTTAGAACAACCTTTTGGCGGGGGACATTTCTGGTCTTCAAGAAAAGAAAATGAAAGATGAGTGTCTTATTTCTCTTAGGGGTAGAAAGGTAGCTGGAGGGATTAGGAAAACAAATACATCATAATATTAGCACGTACAATTATGCAATGTGGCTATATTGATTAAGAAAATCAATATTGTATAACTACTGCAATGCAACGTTTGGTTGGTCATGCGTTTCAACTTCAAAAAATCATCGCTTTTTCTCTAAACACCCACCTTTCCATATCTATTCTACCCAATCATACCCCCAATCCATGGAAGAATCATCGGAAATTGAACTTACAGACCAAGAAAATGACCAACTAAATCGTAGCATTGGTAAACCTAAAGAAGCTATAGACAAAGGTAAAGAAAACAACACTCAACCTCTTAACCCACTCAAAAGCAAGGTAAGTTTTTGTGACACACTTTCCGCACCTCCTCCTCCTCCAATCAACCCCAGCTAGAAGCTGAATTCTTGAAAAAACTAACCATAGACGATGAAAACTCTAACCCGTCTAATCATCCCTTTTTTATCCCGTTTTTCTCAAATGATAAACTAAGACTTTACATCCCTTGGCACCAAGCCATTATTGTTAAACTCATAGGGAAAAAATATCTTACACAAATCTGAAACTTAAACTAAACTCACTCTGGCAACTAGATGAAACCCTTCAATTAATAGATTTAGGATATGAATGTTATCTTATCAAATTCCAGAGCAATAAAATTTTTAATAAAATACTCCAAAACGTACCTTGGTTCATAGGATCTCAATACCTCACTATACGACAATGAGAACCCAAATTCAATCTAGCCCTAGCTCACACAAACTATGTAACTGTGTGGATCCGTGTACAAGTATTACCCACTGAATACTATATGCAAATCCTCAAAAAAATAGCTGCTTTTATAGGAACGCTCATAAAAATTGACACATGCACTGTTCATTCATCTAGAGGCCGTTATGCCAGACTCTGTATTTTAGCACCACTAGGTAAGACCCTCCCATCCGAAATTCTCCTTGGTACACACACTCAACCAATTTACTCTGAAGACTCAAATATAATCTATACCAAATGTGGATGCTTAGGGCATAACCTTCAATATTGTCCAATTTTTTCAACCCCCTCCACTTCGAAACAAACAGAAGAAAATCCAAACACACCCTCCAATGAAGATGGCCAACATAGCCAATGGAAAACAGTTACCTATACAAAAAATAAGAAATTTGCTAACACTAAGGACAAACAATCTACCCAAACCGCCTTCCAAAACCAAAACCACCCTCAGCATCCCAACCCCCTAACAAAAACCCTATGGGCCCACTAACCCCACCGACTCCACTAAACCAACAAATAACATCACACTACAAAATCAATTTGAACTACCAATTCATATCCCTACACCGGACCCACTCCATACAAAAAATAATACCACACATGACAACCCTATACCACCTGTAACACAATCAATTAACCCTACCCCAAACACGTCCAAACCACCATCATCACCTCCCTCCCCCCCCCCCCCCCCAATTCCCAACACCTACGCCTACTGTAAACCTAGGAGCGGAAAATCATCACTTTATTTCGCCACCCCTACACACTCTAATTTGTAAAACAATGTCCAAGCGCTTACTTCCAAAACACAATACCAAGAAAAAACTAACTAGAATAGCCAATTATTATGACTCCTACTCTCAACTCCCGAATTCAAACATGCATATGCATGAACACTGCTCACAGAAGGCCAAAGAAATCCTTGATACAACTATATCACTACAAAAAATCATATCTCCTACTACAACACTTAAACCCCAAATCACACAAACTATACCTCAATCATCACCTCAACTATCACACACTTCTGCCTCACCATCATTTCTTCCTAAAGAAACCCCATCCAACAGTACTCCTAAACCTTCAACTCCATTACCACACGGTAAGTCATGTCATGCAAACTTGCCAAATCCCTCAACCAATAACAATGGCCTCTACTCACAATCAATCACTGAAAATCCATCCATCTCAACCCCAAAGGATTCTTCAAATACCCCACCTAATAAATCAAGCCATTACCACAACTCAAGAACCAATTTCTAATACCTACTCCACTGTCAATAACCATCATGCATCGTTGCAACAATCACAAAAACCATCACCAACAATACAGGCACCGGAGGTACACCAACAATATCCAGATCAATCGCTACCACCAACTCCTCCCCCTTCCTTCACCCCCCACCTCACTTAATCATCCAACACCAACCCAACCATGCATAACAGAGGCCATCACTACACCCCAGACTCCCACTCATACACCAACATCCAACTATTCCTCCACAACAAATACCACCACTATACCAGCTCCCACCAATAGACCTAAAACTACTACAAAACCATGCCACACTCCTTTTGGAAACATCAGAGGAGATGGCCTTCTTAGTGCAAGAGGGAATTCCAAACCAAGCACAACAAGACAAAGTCTTGAACCTGATCCATCAGCAAGATATCACCCTTTGGCAAATGCAGGAAATCATCAATCAATATCAACAATGGCAAGCACGGGCACTTCATCACCCCACCTTCTAGAATACACCCCCACAGATCAACTCCTCGCCATGGTTACTCCCTCAACAACCAGTAGCAACTATTCAGTCTCCAGTGTTAGAACAGATGCAACATCAGGTGATCGACAACCACATTACCAACTCTCCACCTGCTTCTCCCCAACAGGAAAATCAACATCAAGCAGAATAAGGCAACGACCTGCCAGAGACCTTCATGGAATCAGTGATTTTGAACGACTTTCTGACGATATCTTAGAAAATACAGAAAAAATACCTCATTTTCATCCCTCCAAACCTTCAGAGAACTTCCTTGAACATATGCCTAGACCCCTTATCCTTGGAAGAGAAATATGTGATCCTTATGATTCCAACCCTACAAGACAATCTTTTACCAGCAGCTCTTTACAATCCTCCATAACTGCTAATGCATTTGGAACTTTTTCTGGCTCCGGAAAGGAGCATCCCACATCATTAAGATTTAATGAAGATAATGATTTGGAATTGCCGGGGAGCTCACAATCAAGAATTCCGCCGGAACCTCAGATTCTTGCTTACGTGAAATAATCCTTCCATCTTATGCCTTATAGAAACAGAGATGGCAGACCACACTGATCTCCTCATGAAATTCAACTACGCTGATTTAATCCAAGTTGCAGCACAAGGCCATTCAGGAGGAATTGTACTTTATGGCTAGCCCATGATTTGGTTGTCAACCCAATGGCAGTCACAAGCCAAGAGATAAATGCTTCTGTCGATACCCCCCCCCCCCCC